CCTCCCTGGGAGCTTGAGGGTAACCATCCTCCACAAATCTTGCCCACTCCTTCTGGGTTGGTATTTCAGATTCTTTCACGATCCCTATGCGATATTAGATTATGACCCGATTCGAATTGTAGTGTGTCTGACTCTCAAAACTCGCCAAGTCGTCCTCAGTTGCGTATTCTCGCTGCAGTTTGCGGCGGGTGTCCTCTGCATGGAAGAATCGGATATACCATATGCCAACATGAAAATAAGTACGTGTGGGGTTGTAAGGCATTTTGGGCGGATAACGTAGATTAGTTTAGGCTATAGTTTTGAAAGAATATGCTGGCTTGATACTTGATAACGGGGCAATCCGCCTTCTTATATGTCGCAGCAGAGCTTCTTTTTCAAAAGCAAGCCAGCAAGGAATTTTCAGGGCTAGCATGCCGCCCAACGCCAACGTTGCCAATTACTACCGGGAACCCAATCTTATGCCGCCGGGGGATTAGCGTTCTCTCCTCCGTTTAGTTCCAATATACCTCGTAGACGGGAAGCGCGATGGCCTTGGTCTATGGCAGTTTTGATTGGGGCGCTGCTCATCGTAGCTCGTATCTAGATTGGAAAGCTTGGCTACTGATATCGTACCCGGTCGTGATTATGGCTAGCGTCTCCAGCCCACAGTAACAGCTCGAATAGAGTCCAACCTCCACCCCTCCCTCATCGGCGAGTTCCTAGCTGCTGGCCTCAAACTTGTAGATAACTGACTGTTCCCAACTTCAATATGCTTTTATAAGCGTCATTGTCTCGACTATATCGTGTGGGCTCGAAATCTGGTTATGGTTGAGGGTTATGTACATTAGCATGGCTGTGAATGGTCGTTTCCAATGGCATCATTCAGATGTGCCCAACTAAGCATGCCGCACAGCCCCCTGCACAATTTGTCAACATCCTGTCAAACCATTGGCAAGTCGCAGGCCTGATCGCCCTCTGTTGCCTATGACCAATGACCTTGTGTTGTGGTTCGTCTGGTGCATCAAGTTGTACATCACCTGGCCTAGCCAGCGTCAAAGTTGTCAATGGCGGTGTTAATCACGGTCGATCGCCGGGGGAGACGGAATGCGGCGGTGTACCGCGCTAAGCACGGCCCTCCCTGCCTTCTTCGGTTCCTCCTTCATCACCATTGTGGGGAGGTTTCACATGCAGACTCGAGATATTAAGTGGATCTCTTCGTCTCTGGTACTAAAAGGCAACACAGGTACGCATCTCATTCGATCAATTGTCAATTTTGCAAGGACAGCAGCCCACGGTATCATGCATCGTTCCTCGCAGCCAAAAACAATAACCAAGATAGTAGCACGTTTCTTTTTCCAAGTACTATCTTAAATAATGCAATAGAACAGATGCGAGAGACATGACTTGGTTATAAGCCGGATAAGCATAGTATGGAACAGGGTTTTACTGTCAAATTCTGCTGCCAGGGGATACGCACACATCTGTTGGAGCAAGCAATCGAAGCTCTATCCTGTTCGCGTCTAGGTTCTGTCTGCTGATTTAAGCTCTCAGCCACAAGTCTCAACCGCAAATAACACTTCTGGATAACAACTTAGACATTATACCATAATGACTGACCAATTGCTACAGCATAAAGCTGATAAGAGGAAAACCTAGATGATGACTCTTTAGCCGGCCTTGGAGGCGTATAAGAGGCTCCAATCCCTCGGCCAAGAAAGGTTAGCTCAACACTACAAAACCCCATATCTTCAAGATGGCGGCTCCCCTGTTCGCGTCTACAGTACTCCGGGCCAGGGTTCGAAAGCTGATTGGGCTCTTATCCACCAGTGATGTACATAAAGCTTCATCTTTGTTACCGGTGCCGACATCTTCGAGGGAACTTAATGTGATTTTGACTGTGTTTCTTCATGCTGCGTGTGACTTAGTCACTGGGCACGTCTGCGATCATACTTATGCCGTTGCACGTCACTACACGTGAGCAAGCATTTCAAGCGCCTAATCTCAGGGCTACTGGCACACGTAAACATGAACTCCATGTTCAGTCGCTTGGGTAGGATGAGTCATGGTGTTGATGGGGCCAGGCGCAACGCGGCCGTGACAATTATATCCGTCAAGCGTGTCGCTGTCTTATCCGTCAGGAACCCCGTTGAGCAGGTGGAACAGGGTATGCAGGGCACTAGCGGTACAGACCCTAGTTGCAATAAGCTCCAGTGTACGAAACTAGCTAAGCTACATGCCTCGTTGATTGGTTGAACGAATCGAAGTTTTCGTGCTGTGACTGGTATTCAACCGCCGGCTCCCCCAGCCACTAGCCTCACCATTACTGTCGAGACGAGCTCGCTGCGGTATCGAAGCCAACCGTTGACTCTGTTCAAAATGGTTTACGAAAAATCGATAGAGTCGGGTTGTCTGTTGGTCAGGTAGAGAGCTCGAAAAATACTTGAATGGCGAGTCTCGACCCCTGTTGTCCTAGTCTTGCGTCGCCTTTTGGATAGAAGCAAATCTAGAGTGTTTCATAGGCCTATAGCTTACCTCTGGCTGATCATGGCCATAGGTATCCAGTCAGCATTAGACCGACGGTTCATGAAGACGGCGTCTTGACCACTTGCTACACATAATACGTGCATACAAGAAGCTTATGTTCCCAGTTTGTTCCGCTTCGAAGGCCATTGAATACGAATCTTCTAGTTAGTTATCCAGAATGTCAGATCAGATCAGGTTCCGCTAGATCCATCTTCACACTCCCACAATACCTCTTGGTCACGAATACAGCTACAGCGCGAACACTTTTCACTGACTCTAACATCGAGTCCGCACTACTGACCTCACCGATGCGACTCCAAGTTGAGGTCGCAGGGTCCATGACACATAGGTCTCGGGTGTGTGGAGTCTACGCAAGGTTAGCCTCTGCAAATGTGACCGATGTTGGTACGCCTCTTTTTCAACCCAGAGCCTTTGCTCGTTGCCTCGTTACGAGCGATCTACGCCAGCATCAGGCTACCACCTTCAAGAAAACTTTCGTTCTTGATCTCAATTGCAGCTACCGGTTGTTCATATTGTTACACCCAAACTCTAGCAAGGGGGCCTCAATCAGATATCAGCGGAGCGGTGAAGAACCAACAAAAAATGGCGCGAGATGAGGCTCTGCTGTGCGACCAGTTTTGTGCCTTCTGGTTGCCTTGTCATCGAACCCTCAGATGGAAATCCTATCACAAGAACGTGAGGACCTGGCCCTTTTGTAATCTCCTCACTCAAATATTGAGGTATATGTGCCCTTCTCATCTCCGACCCTACTTCACCATTTGTTGCTAAATATCCATCCATGACCACAGGTCATTTGTTCCTTACCACATCATTTGGGATTGACTCCTGGGTGTGTCTTGGTTCTCGTTTAGGGCAAGTCATACCGACCTATACTTAGCTCCTTTCCAGCACTACTTGATTATTCTAATAGCATATCAAGATGCACGGTTACAGTTCATCAGAAGAGTCCGACGACCCTCGTCGGACTCGTGCCCAATCTGCCACCACCAACAACGACAAGAAGAAGAAGAAAAAGAAGAAGCTCCCGCCTTAAAAGAGCATCAACCGCATCTGGAAGAAGTTCTCCAAGCGCAAGTTTCACAAGGCTCTCGCCGTCCTCCCATTCGACCCCTTGCAACCACCTGCAACCTACCACTCCAACGAGCTCTTATCGGCCGGTTACGAGCGAGCCGCTGAGGAATGTCGACGCAAGGTTGAGAAGATCATCTAAGCATACAAGCGAGTGAATATGCGATATCGAGATCCTGGTTGGGATCTGGTGAGTTTTCCGTTGTATTCCGCACGAATTCGACGCTAATGCATTTACTAGGATTGGGATCTCAAATTCAAGAAGGGTCACTGCTTGAACAACCTGGAATCCCCGGAATTTAAACTCGACAAGACAACATTTCTCAGTCCACAAGCGACTGTTCCTAAGGCCGTCAAGCGCGTCCACGAGATCTTTGAGAATCCCACCTTCATGAAAGAGGTTAGTGGTGGTGACGTCAAGCAAGGGAGTCTAGGAGACTGCTGGATCATGGCTAGCCTAACGGCTTTGTCCAAGGTTCCAGGAGGTCTACAGCGGATCTGCGTTGCCCATAAAACAAAGATCGGCATCTACGGTTTTGTCTTTTATCGTGATGGTGAATGGATCTACTCCATCATCGACGATAAGCTCTATCTCAAGTCTCCAGGGTGGGATATCATATCTTTGCACAGAGATCCTCCAGCAGATCGATTGTGAGAATAACGAGAATGTCTATCGCAAGACGTTTCAGACTGGCTCTAAGGCGCTTTTCTTTGCGCAGTGCAGAGATCAGAACGAGACTTGGGTTCCTCTATTTGAGAAGGCCTTCGCCAAGGCTCATGGTGATTATGCGTCATCGGCGGGTGGTTGGATCGGTGAGGGTATCGAAGATATCTCTGGTGGAGTTACCACTGAGCTCTTGGCCTCTGATATTCTCGATATCGATGGGTTTTGGGACAAGGAGATGTCGCGAGTCAACGATGAGTTCCTCTTTGGCGCTTCCACTGGTCTACTTGAGCACAGCTACGGTGAGCGCAATGATATCTCTGAAGAACATGCCTATGTCGCCATGGAGGCACGTACTCTAAAGTCTGGCCAGCGCTTGGTCAAGCTTCGTAATCCTTGGGGTAAGGTCCGCAAGGGTATTTGGGAGGGAGCCTGGAGTGATGGATCCAAGGAGTGGACTACCGAGGTGCAGCAGGAATTGAATCACAAGTTCGGTAGTGACTCTGTTTTCTGGATTCCTTACGAGGAGCTCATTTGAAAATATGCTCACTTCGACCGTACTCGACTCTTCCGCGAGCACGACTGGCGATGTTGCCAGTGCTGGATTGTTGTTGGTGTCCCGTGGAAGGCGGCTTACCATGAGAAGTTCCACATCAAGTTGACCCGAGACTCGCCTCTTGTTCTGTTTCTTTCGCAACTTAACGATCGGTATTTCAAGGGCCTTCACGGACAGTAATCTTTCCGTCTTCACTTCCGACTTCACTACGAGGACAGCCCCAATGCTGAGGACTATATTGACCGATCTCACGGAAACTACCTCATGCGGCGTTCTGTCTCTGTGGAGTTACCTGACCTCCCTGCTGGCAAAATGTTGTCTACCTCAAGGTCACTGGTGGGCGAGACTCTAATGCTCAGTCTGTTGAGTAGGTCGTCAAGCGCGAGGCTGCCGACAGAACCTAGAATGAGAAGCTTGCTCAGGTTGGCCACGCATATGATCTAGCCCACAGTAAGGTTTGGGGCCACATGGACAAGGTCACCAAGCTCCGCCAGAAGAAGGATCAGAAGAAGGATTCTGCCAGTCGCCAGAAGGGACGTCGCCAGAAGGAGCGTCGCCGGATGTGGGAGAAGCGCGCTACCAACCGCGACGTCACCAAGCAACAGACCAAGAAGAATGCGGACAAGAGAAAGCGACGTCGCGCAGAGTGGGAGACTGAGCAGAACCGTCTTGATGAGGAGTTCAACGCCAAGGTTAAAGCTGAGCGCGAGCAGATGAAGAAGGAAAGGCTTGCTAATGCTGAGGCTGAGAAGGCTGCTGAAGCTGAGAAGAGGGCTCAAGAGGCTGATGATGAGGCTTTGAGCAAGAAGGCTGAGGAGATTAAGATTTCAGAGGACAAGGACGAGCGTGTTGTCGTTGATGAGCACCACAAGGATCATGACGACGCGGTCATTTCTGTCTCAATTGGATCGCCTCACTTGACTCCCAAGTCAATGGACTCAACAGCCGAGGCTGCTGAAGAGAAGCAAGAGGTTCCGCCTGTCAGTGGAGGACCTCCCGCTCCCATCGAGGAAGAAGAGCCTCTCCCCACCCGCCCTCGACCTGCCTACGACTCTACAGGCGAGTCATCAGACTCTCCTATTGAAAATTGGGAAGAGCTTTACAGCAGCGATGATAATAGTCGCGACCCCGGACGTGCTACATCCAAAAGGTCTCGAGTCCAAAACGACATTGATTCTGACGAGGAGAAGATGCCCGAGCCCTGGAACGCCATCTGCATCGTCGGCGTACGCGTGTACTCCAAGGACGAGAACCTCGAGCTGCGCACCGTCATGGAAGGCGGAGAGCTTGTAGAGGGCGGCATGGGCTCCAAGGGCGCCGCAGATCTCGACAACGCTCAGTCCAACGCGGGCGGTGGACGATCTAACGATAAAACTGCTTCCGAGATAAAGCAGGGTGGCACCAAGGGGCAAGGGATATCTCTGGACATCAGCAAGAACAGCAAAGACAATGAAGATGATACTGTCTGATGAACGGAATGCTGTTTCAAAAGAGTTACATCCACTTCAATTCTACTTTCACACCCAGAGTCGGCTCTTCGGCATCTATATTACGTTAGCACACTCATCGCCTGGAAGTGTTTAATGCCAGCTGCTGGTACGCAGGTCGAGTTGGCGAGTCAATAGCTCGTTAGAGCCACGACTAAAAGCCTACAATGTCGAGGTGATCGAAGGATCTATTCACAGTCATTCCGAGTAGTGAGTTGCGGAGCGTGGCAACAGGTATCAGAGCAAGGCAGGATTGTTCTTTGGTGAAGCAAAGGCGTTCGCGTTGGCGACGAGCCTTCACGTATACATTTTAGGGGCTAATGGTGCGTTTGTAAAGGTTATTACCCAACTAGTTCATCGGTCTATGGAATTAATATATGCTCATTCCGTATTTTCACTAGTAACTACTCCTCGTCCGCTGATAATTCCACAACTTCATATAAACCTGTTTCATTCTGATTCCACGCATACCATTTCCCTACCGTCCTTTTCTATGAGTCAAGCGGGAACTTCGATTGACATATGCAATATCGTCGCTCAGTTCCGTCATTGAACCTTTCAGCTCCTTGAAGGTATCAAGTTCGAATTTAGATCATCAAGGTGTAGCTTTCCTGCGTCTATTTACAAACGTATTACTTGGGGGGCAATGGGCTGGTGCTACGGCTTTTGGCGGCCTCTTCAGTCTGTTTGCAGCTTTGTATTGACATCCCTCATGGCAAGGGTGCTGGTTGAGCCTGCTGTAGATCAGACGTTGAGTACCGTTAACTCATGGGTTTGTTCTGCGTCGACATGCCCAGGCTTGCTGCCAAGTTCGGGGCTTTCTACGTTGGACTCTCTAATGTACGATTTTCAAACCGCGTTCCTATTTGGCAAAGAACCCAAGTCGCTGATGTCTCCTGAGTACAGGCAATGGGCCGAGTTCCTCTCCTCCAAGCACTTTTAGCTTCAGACAATTGACGCAATTCGCTCGAGAACGCTCTGACCACGATATATTGGTTGTGCATTTCCCCCTTTACAGTTCTTGCCTCCTCGTTTTGGCCTCTCAGGTCGATGTAACATTCCATCCCCAAGCATGATGACTTCTTTCCAGCGAATCTTGTGTTAGGAGTTTCAGGTCAGGTTCATCAAACCTTTCGATTGATCCGTCCATCCTGCTGTTCAATTGATGTCGATTTGCCATTGCATCTCGGAGGCGTGAGTCCAGCGTGTCGAATAGGTGACTTCCGGGCACCTTTTGTGTATCCATGTAGAACAGGAGTCACAATCTCGTCTGGTAATAGGTCGGAGTGATGGATTTAGTTCGGTTGCCTGTCTGTCTGCATCTCAAAAGCGTCTCGAGGATTGTCGCGGCTCTGGTGCTCTGGGCTAGATTCGTTGCTTCTATCTGCGCTTCGGTACAGAGGGGTTGTCGGTTTTTCTCGTCATTTCAATGTAACCAACGGGCCCTTCGATGAGTTGATCAGTATGCCCAGTGATGAAAATACCAGCAAATATGTCAAGCAGAAAGGTAGCTGCACATTCGGAACAGTTCTAGCTCTTTTGACAACGTGCGGGATGCTCCCGGTGCTGCAAGCTCCGCTGCGTCCCTCAATATGTATCTTGATGCTCGCTCCTTTCTCGTTCAATGTGGACAATTTCCTGAACTTTCAGCCAGACCGATTGGCGAACGGCTACCTGGAAAAGCGGGATGTCCAGAGACAGTGTTCAATCGCCTCATGGCTATGCGGTGAGTATCGGCGTGCTTGAGGTACAAGGTCGCCATCTGTTTTTGTATTCTGTAATGGGTGGCCACTTGTCATCGTTTTCAAAATAGATGGCCAAGGACCAAATGTTCGAGGCGTCATTTGTATGGGACGGTCATTCGCTGCGATAGGCAAGAAGCATTTGGCTATTTTTGGGTGTCAAAATCGAGATGAATGGAGCTAGGGCAAGACCTGGAGATGTAGTGTATGAAGGGTCGGTAGCGCGGCCACCCGACGCGGGACGCCCATGATGGTGGTGTGAAGTTGGAGAAGCATATGCATGCAATGTCAGCTAGAGAAGTGACAACAAGCCACGTGATTGGATGTCGTACTCTGCGTGAAACCCCTCTCCGCCCCGCCATCGCCATGGGACGCGAGGTACGGGATGAGCACGTATATCCAATGACGTTTAAGCATTTTTGCTTTTTCCACCTTGAAATCCAAGTTTATCTGGCGCATTGGAAGCGTCGGATGCACATCGATGGAACCTTTGCTAGACATGCTGTGTCACCATTACAGAATCACCTAGTCCATTCTGGACACGGCATGCATCGTTTTTCCCAACAGATTTGATTAGAAGTGCCATCTCATGCTGCACGATGTGCTCATGTGTTTCAGCAGAGTCGAAC